AACACAAAAGTTGAAGGTGAATAAGAAGCTTCCGAAACCCTAAAGCACATGTGAGATCTTATGTGTTACTTTTATATCTTCTTCTTATCTTTCTTGACTTGGTCTTCCGAATTTGTCTCACTATTCACTACCGCATTTTTCTATTTTATTACAGCCCTTTAAAGAATAAAGACGAGGGTGGGTCCATTTAATTTATATTCCAAGATAAAGCATGAAATTTATTGTTATTAATCAGTTATAAAGCTATCAAGTTCGATACGTGTCTAGAGATACATAACTTGGTACGTAAAAGATTTAAAATAAAAAAGAAACTAGTGTAAGGAAAAAAATACCATATATCTTTGAAAAAGAAAGAACATCGGAGTGTCTCTTCTCTTTAGGGTTACCCATTCAAAAGCTAGTTTCACATTTTGTAGTTTTTAGACCATCAATATGCAATTCGCGTTATTCAAATGTCCTAAAACGATTGATCTTATAATGATTAATTGATCTTGCAATGGTTATGCATATCCGCTAATAGTTCAATTATAATTAACATGCTTAACTATATATCAGAAAAGAACTCAACTAGAGTTTCCTCGCTCGCTTTGCTATGATATATTTTCTCATTTCATATTTCTTTTATTCTTTAGCATGAAACACAAAACATGTCAATGTATAAACGATGCACAATTGTAGATTGCTATTTTTCTTCAATCTTCATACAGATATGTGTTTATGGAAGACACATGCATATTAATAAAAAAAATGGTGGTAAAGAAGATAGAAAAAAAGAAAAGAAAATAATGTACCAGGTAAATCCCAAGGCTCGCATTTGTAAAGATCAATCTCGGGAATAATCTCTAATTCGATTATCCGACCATTAATCTTTCTTTTGAGGTAGTATATGACAAGCTCTTCGTCTGTTGGATGAAACCGGAAACCAGGAGGCATTGACACAGGAGCCATATCTACTTCCTAGCTAGAAGTATATGGTAAAGAAATAAATTGAAGATGAAGATATATAGAACTTGGGAAATAGAAGAAGGAATCTAAATATAAAGAGACAGTTATATATAAACAGGCGTAATGTAAGGGTTTATTGATTCTTTGTTTCTAAAAAAAAGTAATGTAAGGGTTAAATTCGATCGATCAATGATGCAATTGTAAGAAAGACAAAAAGAGATTAAAATTATGTAAAAGAAGCCGAAAAGCATTTAGGGTCGGTTGCCAATTGCAAACCCCACAGCATATTTTACACTTTATCTTTTCTTTTACTTTAATGTGTTTATTTATCCATATTGTTTTATAAATTTCCGCATAAATTTGATTCTTATTACCCTTCTTTTTTTTTTTGCTATAAACAATTTTTTTTTTCATTTTCCCGCTTACCTCTACAATGACGTTTTCACTGTCATCTATGCTCTTATTACCCTTCTTATTAAGCTTTTTCTGTATTATGTTAAACTAGTGAACTTGTCCGCGCCGTATAGGGGCTAGAAAATTGTTATTGAACGGACTCGACATGCAGTTTTCCGATCACAACGATATTTATATACAAAATTCGAAATATCATTGATATATAGCTTTTGTTGTATCTATAAGGTTTCAACCGCCACCATTTGTGCGTCATGTCTAGTGGCGAATCTAGAAATCATTTTTATCTGATACAAAACTAAATAATATTAAGTAACACAACATAAAATAATACGTCAAAAAAGACATCATAAAAAATTCTTAAATAATTACACTAATTTTGAAAAAAATCATGGTGGGCAAGCGCCCCACCCCACATATGGTGGCGGTAAATAGAATTGTGCATTTATTTCCTGAAAATTGGATTTTTGTCTCAAATTAAATCGGCTTTTGTAAAATATTGCATCTTTAATCAATATATTCTACCACTCAAAACAAAACAAAAAGCATGA